AATATAGTTTTGACAACAGATGGGGATACCTAGGTCTAATTCCACTTCATCCTTCTTACACGGTACTTTGGCTGCAGTGCCTGTCATTATGGTGGGTGATATTTATGCAAGATGGTAACTATACAAATGAGTTTCTAAACCCTTTATTCTGTGCAGCGATCAGGTCATTTAATATTGCTATTAGGAGGTTCTTGCTGTTGACCTTGCAGGAAAAGATTTTAATTTCCTGCAGAGCAGACTTTGAATCACAAAATAATATTCCTCCTCCTCCTCTGTTTTTTAATGTACTGGTAGCTAGTTCTAGTGCAGCAAGTTCTGTTTGTGTAGAGGTCAGTCAGTTTAACCTGACACAAAGTCTCTGTGGAAGTATTGTTTCTGTAAAACCTACTTTCACACACACTATCAGTGTCAGGTTAAACAACTGGCTGACCTCTACACAAACACCAGTTCTTTATGAATCACTAAATCTACTGGAGACCAGAGGCTACAACCAGGCCTCCCTCATTAGAGGTGTAACAAGAAAAGGATTCTAGATCACTAACCGTGAAAAGACGACCAGGGAGGTGGGAGAGACAAAATAATAAATAAGATAAGTAAAGTATAGATAATGATGCCCCCTGAACCAAATTAGCCCCTCTCTCTTGAAGCAGTCCACTGTTAGTTTCACCTGTGCACCACCAGGTGACCTGCGGACCTTGTTCCTTGGCCCCCTGCCCATGACTGTCATTCATTTAGCCAGGAAGACAAAAACTGAAGCCCCTGAATTGGGTAGAGGTCTAAGGTGACACCAATGATCCACTACAAAGAGACCTCTTCTTACATTCAATGTTGTGTTTTGGGAGGGTTCGCAAAGTCGCTCCTTCGTCACCACAGAGAATAAAATAAAAGGTGGAACTCATCTAGTTCCCAGAGGCAGAACTTAGAGGTAGAAGAGATGCAGAAATTAAACCCAGAAGAAAGGGAAACCAGCAACGAGTTAACCACCCCAAAGCCACATAAGGCTGGCATGGACCAGGCCCCTCCACAAAGTACTGGGCCCCCTATCTTGAGATGATTTCGCGGCTTAGCATCTCCGCGGCCAGGTCCTCAACCAGGCCTCCTTTTTGTTACACACCCCCAGGAAGCAGCAAGTAGCACCTGTCTAACTCCCAGGTACCTATTTACTGCTAGGTAACAGGGGCATCAGGGTGAAAGAAACTCTGCCCATTTGTTTCTGCCTCCACCAGGGATTGAACCTGGAACCTCAGGACTACGAATCCGAAGCGCTGTCCACTCAGCTGTCAGGATCTCGGAACACTGTCGACATGCAAAAACTGAGCCCTAAAATGTGCCCAAAAATGGTCAAAAATAATACTGACAGCAGCAAATACAAAACCAAAAAAGTATGAACATTACAAGACTAAAGGCAGACAGCAGAAAAACTAAACTTGACACTGCATACAACAAAAGAAATCAGCCTTGGAAGAAGGGATCAGGACACCAAATGTATCTAGCACAGAGGCAATGGCGAAAAGCCCAAACCAGACAAAAAGTGGCCAAACCAACCATGCACATTAACTATAGGACACTATGGAAAACAATGAACTCCACAACACAGGTCAACATGGATTTTGAGCGGCAAGATTCTGCCTTTCAAAATTACTCAACTACTAGGTACCCATATCTCAAAAAGCACATCAATAAACTGGAAAAAGAATGAAGATATGCAACCAAATGGCTTTCAGATATTAAAAGAGCAATGAGAAGAGGCTAGAGGTGTTAAATATACCAAAGTGAAAAAACAGAAGAAAAATAAGTGATATGATCACTAGGTACAAAATATTAACGGGAATGAATGTTACTGACAAAGAATTCTAGAAAACTGCAATTTCAAAAGGTCAAAGATTCAAGATAAGGAAGAAAGACTGAAAAAATGCATCAGCAAGTGCAATTTTGCAAAGTGATACACTGTTGTAACAAGTCAAGCGAGAACGTTGTGGATGCCAAAAACTCGGTAGTTTCAGAGCATCATACGACAGAGTAATGGGAAGATGAGAGACCACGAGCATAGCTCTCATCTTGCAACTACACTTGGGTAATTACACATGTAATGATTGGCAGGAATGCATATTACAACAATCATGTAGAGTACAGTACAGGAAATTTAAGGCAGACGGTCTGCAACATTTCTTGAGATTGGCGTAATAAAATCTTGCCGAAACCTCCACAGACATTTGCACACAACCAAAAGGAGTATTATCGACACCTTCATGTTAATTATAATCCCACAAAACAAAACAGTGATACTTACCATCTTCCTCCAGGTGGTCATGGTCTTCAAGGTCGTCTCCATTCATAACAAACTCCTTCAATGAACTTTTACTATCTTTGGTACGTTGGCCACGAGTTCTGCGTGATTGACTACGATTAAAAATTTCATCATCTGTATCAGTGTCTGCTTCTACAGCAGCCACTTCATCTTGTCTTCTATGCCGGGGCCTTCCCCTAGGCCTAGGAGCTT